TCAACCTTTGAAAATGCCATATTACAGCTGCAGAAAATGTGACTTTGCCTGACTTTTTTGTTGGGTCAGCCAAAATTGAAGAAAAACATGAAATCTCTCTGTAACCAAGGATATACTGCTACTTTAATAGGCACTGCTCCCAAAGGAAGAGAAAATCCAATTACTAAAATGGTAGCATAATCTTCTCATTATTATTTCAGGAGCTCAGAGTTAATTGGACAAGTTTAGCACCCTGTGAATGAATGTGTGTCCTCATTTCACAATAAATAGTCTGTAATTACTTCCCATTCTCTGAAACCAGGAGATAGCTCTCATTAGCAATACCCTGGAAGAAGCCTTTTGTGGGTTTGAGTAATATTACAAACCCCATCACTATCATATCTGGGCACCCCACAGAAGCTCTTACACACAGAGAAATGTTATTTCACCCTTCATGTAACTGCACAAAGGCCCCATGTGCCTATGGGGAAGCTGCACAAGTGGTTTTGCCTCAGCGTCCACTGCAGCCCAGCATCTGTCTGTCACCTCCTCATGTCCCAGTGGGCTCCTTGGACCAGGCACTCCTTGCCAAGCTGCAAGGTCCAGCACACTGGTCCTTCCCAAAGCACAGGACAAAAACACAGTGGTAGCATCCAGGTGAGAAACCTTGGCCTGACCCACCTGACAGTGACAACTTCCATCTTCCTCTTTCCACCTTAAACAACTGCCCATCCAGGATCCTCATGCTCTCTTCTGTGGGAGCATCTGCATTTTCTAGGATGTTATTAAGGACACCTGGTGCCAGAGAGAAATGCCAAGGCAGGCTGTGCAGTGCTTAACTCGTCACCCAGCAGAGAACACACCAGTCAGGTGTACTCCACCACCTTCTGTGTTTTAAGAGAGAAAACTTGCATTCAGCACAGAAGCCAGGACTGTGCATCTGCCCCTCTAGACTCATCACTGACCCCTGCAATTTCTTCCTTGCATATGAACACACACACCAGTTGTCTTGGTAAAACAGGTGTTTGTGAAGCCAAAAGGTGTTGCAATACATCATCCAGGTCCCACACTAGAAAGACTTTTTTCAGAATTTGGAGTAATTTTCCTCCCTCCAAATCTATTTGTTAAAGAGAACAGAAATAGATGCACAACATGACAGTAAGATTATATACAAAGGTAAAGATTGTTTGCAGATTTAGCACAGTTCTTCTTATTCTCTCCAGCATCATACTGGCTCTCCTGTTAATTGCAGTGATGTGGCAGAGCTCAGGCTGAGTTCTACCCTGTTGGGCTGCTTTGGCTGAACTGGCATTCTCACACTGATTGCACTTTCCCTCATAATCTCCAAATCCATTTCAGCTGCTCCTTTTCAGGAGGCAACGCCATACACATAGGTTTTGGCTGCATAACCAGCCTTCAGCTGCGTTAAGATGCATCCTGTCTAACCAGTTATAATATTGCAGTGCTTTCTCTTTTTCTCATTATACCCCAATCTTCACCTAAATTACAACTATTACCAGCAGAGATTTGATGTATTCTAGAAAAAACCTTGCTCATTGTTGTCCTTTAAGTATAAACATCGCCCTCCAAGAGCAAAAACAAATGCTTGGGAAGGAGGGGAACAGAATTCAATGAAGAAAACATCCCAGAATTTTCTGCAACTGTTGTTGGTTTCCTTTATTCATTATATTCAGCTTTCTATAGCATATTTAATTACCATCTAGGATGGAAAGTGAGACCCTAGTCTTACTCTAAGAAAATTTCATTCCATTTTCATTTTTCATTCTCCCACCACACAGAAAATCCTCTAATTTAATATGAAGTTTGAGTACAAGTACTTGGACACTTCAGCCAGTATTCTTTCTAGAGCCGAGACAGGTGTTGAGCTCAAGCTTCAAGTCTCAGCAAAAACTTAAACCTAAGCCCTGAAGACAAGTCTGGAAAGAAACTCCTCACTGTTCCCTCACAATCCCACTGTCTTTTTTCTCCCCCTTTTTCCTTTATTTGTTGATATTCATAAGAGGAAAGTCTTAAGTATCTGACTCTACCTGTGAAGGTGAATCTTAAGGTATAGCTTTCTGAAGTTCAGAAATTCAAAGCTTGGGTTTTAAAACCAGTCTAGCTTACTGGACTGGTTTACATTCTTGTTCTGCACATTTAAGTTACACATGAAACTTTCTCTGACCCAAAAAGTCAAGTCTGTTTTCATCCCTGAGAGTTTTAAAATGTCTTGCTTTACCTAAGTTAGAAACACTGTGGGAACATGGACATAGTGTGATTTGAATATAAACATTAGAGCTGATGTGTCCCCTCTCCAAACTACATGCAGAGTCTCCCCAAGCAAAGCTGCTTTCAGGCATTATACAATAACTGGGTACAGACATAAATAGGCTGAGAAATGATCTGAAATAGAAGAGAAATAACTCTATGCTAATTGAGAGCTGTAAAGGACGGCAAATATATTAATACCTCCCATGTAAAGTAATCATCTCACACCAGTGAGATAATCTTCTAGTGTTAAACTGAACTGTACTCACTCCATCAGTAAGAATTAACAGATGGAGCAACTCTCTGAGAATTACATAACAGTAATTAAATCCTCACAATGGCCACATGATTTCATGCTCAAGCCAGGGCAGTCTACAGAAAAAATAAGCTTTACGGTCATGTTGGAAAATTCCATAACATGGGGGAATGAAGGCTGAAGAACTCTGCAAGAGCTGTCAGCCTCATAACTTGGATCAGCCTGCCTCATCCTCCAGGATATCCTCTTCACAGTCCACTTAGAGTGAGAACAGAAAACTCTGAAACAAAGCAGCTGTAATAGACACCTTCATTAGCTGTACGAAGAAGTCCCTGGACTACTCCATCTGTAAGATGAGACAGTTATCCATACATGTTGCTACACTGGAAGTTGGTCTGAATAAAAGACATGGGAAAGCTCATAGCTCTTGGTATATAGGAAAATTCTGCGCCCACAGAGAGCTCCTGGCACAAGCAGGTAACCTGTGCCATGGCACCTGCTTCACTGCCACAAGCAGCAGCAGCTCCCTTTGGGGCTGGGGCCTAAGGCTGGAGGTAGGCATGGGAAAGGCAACAAACACCCATTACTGCTGGCAGGAAATGTCCCCACTGCGTAACACCCTCACATCTGCACATGTGAAAAAGTATAGTAATCCAAAAGGGCAAGAAATAGCAGAATGAGCAAGGTACTTAACGGCACATTAACTGTAGAAGGAAGGAGTCCACCCATCAGAGATGGAAAATGTAGAAAGGGACAATATTTTGTATCTTCACATGAGCTCTCCCTCCTGCCCAAAAGTCAGCAGCATCATTAGCACCAGTAGACTTCCCTTACCTCTCTGAGGTGCTGGACACACGGATGATGGAATGGGGCTTCCCAGAAGTTCACCTCTGAGAAATCTTCACAGCCATGCTGGACAGAGGGCCACCACCTCCATACCCCACACCTGGGGGTCCTGCAGAGCTCTGTCCCCACCCCATCCACTACTCCACCTCTGATGTCTTGGGCCAGAATCACATAGATGACACACAGACCTTTGTCTGCAGCATGTGAAATACATCTGGAAATCTCCCATCACATTTAATGTAAAGATAAAATCAACCCCTGAAAGCAAATTTATCTCATTAAACCTGAACCTAGACCAGATCCAGATGGGGGAAGGTATTCATCCATTTCTACTAATTGTGCAATATCCCATCTGCCGTTGCTGAAAATGTCTGTTCCGCACGTGCCCCCATCACCCCCCAACTAAGGAACTGTTCCACAGTTTTTGTTTCTTGTGCTCTTCCAAACAGGATGTGTAAATAGAAATCAGCAGAATGAAGCATGCACTTATATAGCTGTTTATTCCCCTCCCAGCTGAGTGATTAAAAACACCAAAGCAGGTGTTCTGCTGCCACCACATGGTCATGAATAGACCTAGGCATTTTCAAAATAAAATGTTTATGTTTCTTCAGAATACATCAATTCAATAAGCCTATAATTTTTACGTATTTCCTTAGCGTGCCTTCAACTGGGGGTTCTTGTACCAAATCCATCAAATGCCCACAATTTCAACCTGGCTGCTAGGGGTGCCCTGCAACCAGGTGGCATCCAGAGATGTGGAGGTGTATCCAAGTCTCTCTTTTTGTTGAAAGCAAACAAGTTAGTGAGATACCTGATTAAAAAATCTCTGCAAACAAATGAGGAAGAGTTGGAAGTGGCTTTATATTTTGGTGATAAACATTTCCAACAGTTCATTCTCTCAGGAGTAAATTCTGGGTTCTCTTAATGAAGAGTGATGCTGTTTGTGATGCAGCATATTTTTGTGCTGGGATGTAAAAACCACCATCACTGAGGTCCTGAAGTGACAAAAGGCTTTAATTTCAAAACAGAGAACAAGCATTAGAATGATTCAGCTCCCTACCATAAAGAAGATTATAATTAAAACATTTACTGTTTCCATGAATATCAAGAGAATGCCATGACCCCACGGTTTCAAGCACTTGGTTAAAGGTAGTTCCTCAGGCTTTCAGTGTAGTGTAGTATCAATCCTTGTCTGATATCAGTGAAATGTAACATGGGTGGATGTGTGGACCCCGTTGTTTAGAGCGAAAATGAGCTGATTCCCCTTTACCATATCAGTCTTACCATGTGCTTGCTACTTTGTCCCTCAAGGTAATTCACAAACCAGAGCTACTGTCATATACTCTTTCACCAATCTGCCCTAAAGGGATAGATTTTTGAGGCATGAATATCAAAAATATCAAAAAGATTTCAGATGTGTAAGACAGGCAAGTCATCTGGCTTGGGATGGGTTGATTGTGGAGTGCACACTGACCTTCTCATTCAACATGAAAAACTGACTTTAACATTAGCATTTGGGATGATAATTCTCAGCTATCATTGATATTACTTGACCAAAGTTCAAGAAAGGAATGGCCACAATAGCAGCCTGTATTCTAAGGAGCCATTTTAGGTAACTTAAATTGCTGTCATTTATTTCACTCTAAAATACTTCTGTTGACATATGTCAGTGCTTTATTGTGATGGTTTTGACCTCAGTGAAGAACTCGTAGGAATCCTTTGCTCCCTCCCTGCCTATGCCTGAGGCTTTCATCCCACCAAATGGCAAGTTCAGGTCTCTCACAAGCCAGCAGTTGGTCCACACCAGCCCAGACTGCAGCCTGTGTGCCACCCTGTGAACGCGCCCCACGTTGCCGGACCACACCGTGGCTGCCAAGCCGTACTTCACACCGTTGGCTCTTCTGATCACCTCCTCTTCTGTATCAAATGGTACCACACATGTCACAGGACCAAAGATCTCTTCTTGCATGCAACAAGATTCGTCCTTGACTTCAGCAATAACTGTGGGCAACATGAAATAGCCTTTCTGGTTGCCAGGTGGGAGGGCCAAAGGATCCACTCCCTCTCCGCAGAGGACTCTGGCTCCTTCAGCCTGGGCTTTCTTCACATAGGTCCTTACCTGGGGAAGCAGCAGAAAAACATCACTGCTAAAGGACACCAAATCCCAAGGGTTCACACATCAGAAGGAGCCCCTGAACAACTCCAGCTGGAACATGCTGCCCTCTTGCAATAGAGGGCAGCATTCCCTCAATTTTGTTGTTATGCTTCTTTGCATGCAAAGCCGTGTATTTCTTGCTGAAAAAAGCAATTGTTTGCTCTTTCCTAACACTTACTATCCTAGTAGACAACACTGCTGGCCCTTCCCACTAAGTACTGTCAAAAGGGCAGGACCCTTGGAGAAAATACAAGTGGTTCTAGAGCCTCCCTCCATTTCCCCAGGAGCAGTTTGCCATGTACCCCATGCCATGGTTCACTCATTTACTCCAAGGAATCAGTGGCATTTTCCTGCTTCAAGGCAGGGCTTTTGAATGTTTGCATGCCACTAGGATGATGAAGCCATGAATGCTACAGAAAATCTCATCAATAAATGATTAAAGATGTTTCTGTGGTTGCTGCTACCATAAGCTTGCTACCCTGAACACATGTTCTTGTACTGTTGATCTGCTTCTGCTGTGCTGCAGTCATTGCCTGGTTTCCCTCCTTACAGAAAGACCACAGAGATACCACAGGACTTCCTTATCTTTTTCTTCTTTTAGGCACCTTGGTAGGTAAAACTTGGAAGTTCTCTGTGGTGCTACAAAGACCTCAGGAAGTGGTCTCTTCTTCAGAACAAGAGAACCTGGAGAACCTTCTGAGGCATCAGGGAAGCATATTAAAGATCTGGCTTTCTCTCACTCTGTGGTTTTTTGGTCTGCTTCTTGCGTCAGAGATTTCTGGGATATAAGTATCTGCTCTCCCTGAACTCTGACACCTTTCATTTCATATAAGCCACTAAAGCAAACTGTGTTTAACTGTGCATCATCTCAGCTGCTCTCCACACACAGACCATTACAAATTACTGCAAACAGTTCTAGGAAACTGTTCTGTACAAGCCAGAATTTGCCAGAGTGATATAAAAATAAAATTTTTACCTTGTTAACTAACTTATTATCAAATGCACTATTAAAATCCAAGAAAATGTTGTTGAACGCCAAGATTTGTGAATATAAATTCAGGACTTAGAAGACGTTATAATTATCCCACTCAAACAGGAGTAAATTTTCTTTTGCCATTTTAAATTATTTTCCCCAGGGAGTTTGATTTTTTTTCAGAGTAATCACATGATCCCAAACCACAAGCAACAGAAACCTTATTAAAAAGATACCTTATAATGGCTTTGAGTTATCATCCCTCAGAGCTGATCTTGGAGATGACAAGATCCTTTCCCACATAGTCCTGAAACTACCTTTTAGCCCTCTAAAAGATGAGATGAAATCAAATAAACTCCATGTAGCATCACCTTTTCTAGATGCTCTTTACTTATTAGTGCTCCCACATCGATTGTAAGATCTGAGGGATTCCCAGTCTTCCACTTCTTGGCCTCTGCCACAAACCTCTTCAAAAACTCACTGTATATTCCCCTCTGAACAAAGATCCTGGAGGTGCAGAGACAGATCTCACCCTATCAAAAAGAAAGAAACAAACCAGAAATCAATATTGGTTCATATTACATTGTACTATTGACATAAATCCTATGTATTAGGAATTACATAATTTCTATGTATTAGGAATTACTAGCCAGTTCACTCGTGTCCCTGCATCCTCAGGAGTGAAAACTACATTAACCAGCACTGCAAAATGGGAATTTTTTTTCCAGATTAAAAAAAAAAGGAGAAGGAAAAGGCAAAACTGTATCAGTATCATGCAATCACTACCATAAGTAAATTTAATTTTATAAATTACATGTTTTCTTCTCCAACATTTTTTATAGGTAACATGATTTCCAACTCTGAATGATTGCTCTCCATTTCCGATAATCTCTGATACCAAGCTATTTTTCTAACATTTGCCCAGATACAATTTCCTGGCTTCGGTGCTCTCTCCTGAAGGTGGTGATGAGGGAAGAATAATGTTGGTAAAATTTCGGGGGAAGTCCCCTAATTTAATTCTAACAAATCAACAAGCTTCCCACTTTCTTACACACTGGAACTTACAGCAGCTGCTTCCCTGAGAGATAAGAAATGTATGTGCTTTGAGAGGAGTAATAACACCTTGTTATCTTCTGATGGCGAGCACAAAGAAGAGCCTTTTATTACTCTGTGTCCTTCCTTGTGGAATAATGAAACCCTTTTCATATTTTCCTACTTAGGATTTTCTCCAGCACGATCTTGAAATAGACCTTGACAATTTGAGATCCAGATCCAAAGGCGGGTGCAGCATGCACACAAGCCCTCAGGCACGCACCCCTCCTGCTGCCAGCGGGGTTTGTGTGTTACAGGGGCGGGAGGCACCTGGTTGGCAAAGCTGGACCTGACGGTGGTGGGGACGCACTGGCTCAAGTCAGCATCGTCGAAGATGATGGCGGGGTTCTTGCCTCCCAGCTCCAGTGAGAGCCGCTTGCAGTGCGGGGCGCTTCTCTCCGTGATGCGCTGCGCCGTCCGCGTGCTGCCCGTGAAGGAGATCAGGGGCACATCGGGGTGGCACACCAGGGCCTCTCCTGCCCTGGGCCCTGTCCCAAACACGACATTCACCACGCCAGGAGGCACCCCTGATGGGAACAAAGGTGCACGGTTGTTGCAATAGGACACGAAAGAACACAAGCGCACACCGCTGCTCTTAAGGTGAAGAAAAAGGGAAGTTTATTTTCTGACTCTAACATTTATAGTTTCCTAAGAGTGACAGTGGATTGGAGGGTGACAGTGCCACCTCTCCAATGACACTGGACAAACCAACAGTCTATCAGCTTTCTCCTCCTCCATAAAGGAATACAAAACAATGAGTTATTTACAGAAAGTGTGTGAGAAAGCTCACTACAAGAATGTCAACATCAGAAGGCTTAGAAAATCTTAAAAAACCAAAGTGACACACAGTCATTGTACCCTCCTGTCCCTCCGAGGGTGTCACCTCACTTTGTTTTGTCCCTGAAGTTAGAAAGTCACCAGCAGCTCGAGGGTGAAAAACACTAACCCTTAACTTCAGTAGCAGCTGAAATGCACGTGTTAGACAGCTCTATGGCTCATGGGTTTAATGACAAAAGCAGTCCCACTAATCCAGCTTGTCTGACATGGATCACCAGAGATGCAGTGTACAGTCATTCAGGGAACAAGGAATTGTTCTCCCAGTTTTAATTAATAATGCACCCAATACAGCCATGACAGAGTGACACTAATAACTGAAGAGTTCACTAAGAGCTGATTCTCACTCCTTTATTCTCTCATGGCTCCTTTGCTTGCACCACAGACTTATGACATCTGTAAATGGAGTGCAGGAGGGGCAAAACTTTCCATCAGAAGATAGTGGAAAAAATGAGCAACAGCTGGATTGGGGAGACAGGATAGTGTGAGCACAGAAAAAGCCTTTTGTTCTCCAGTGCAACATTCAGCTACAGCAGTCTTTCCCAGAGCCTTTAAACATCTTCTGATTTCTGCAACTAAAAAAAAACCTGGTGCACAGACAAGCATTTCCATTCTATTCCTGTTCCTTAGCATGCTACAGGACTTACCTGCTTTTTCCAGGAGTTTGCACATCATCCAGGCTGTGACAGATGTCATCTCACTTGGCTTGGCAACCACAGTATTTCCACATGCAATGGCAGGAGCTATTTTCCAAGTCAACAAATACAGTGGCAAATTCCAAGGACTGATTAAGCCAGCTACAAAACAAAACCACAAAGACAGGAGGTCAGTCTGCTGGGATACAAAACTCATTTCTCTGACCTCAAGAATTATATACACCAATTCAGATCTACGAAGGGAATTTGGTCATAGCTTTTATTTCCAGGCAATATGTACAATAAATTTGCAGCATTTCTGACAGGGAGATAATTTCTTAAAAAACCTGTGCAAATGATTCTAAAAGGGATCAGCTGAACTCTCTGAATAAGTTTTGCTGTTTCTTCAGGGCAGAATCTTATATTCTCAGGAAGTTTTTTAGTATTTTTCAGGAACATTAATGCAAGGTTAGCCATAACAATAATTTGCAACAACTTGTCTGTAGGCAATACTTTGTGTTAGCAAAGAGCAAGTGAAAGTAATTATAGAATGGTTTGGGTTGAGAGGGTCCTTAAAGATGAGCTGGTTCCAACCCCCCTGAGACATCTTTCACTAAACCATGTTGCCCAAAGCCCCATCCAACCTGGCCTTGAACACTGCCAGGATTGGGCCATTGTCCATTTCTTCAGGCAACCTGCACCAGTGCCTTATCACCCTCACAGTAAAGAATTTCCTCCTAACATCTAAACCTACACTCGTTCAGTTTGAAGCCCCTTGTCCTATCACTACATGTCCTTGTAAAAAGTCCCTCTCTCTTAAGCTCTCTGGCAGGTCTGCCAAAAGCATTCTCTTCTCCAGGCTGAATGTGCCAGCTCAGATCAGATTCCTGCTTTCTCTTGCTCTTTAAAGCTGTTTTTTATTTTTCAATTTTAATATTAACCAAACTCTGTATAACATACAGTACACATTTTCCAGAGAACTTTTAGTCTAATTTATGAGTGCCAACATTTATCACTATATGAACTGTTGTTCCCATGAATTGCTGAATGACCAGAATTATTTTCAGTAATTTCCTTTAGGAATATTTTCACTTTACATATTAATAAGAAATTATGAAAAAAAATCTGTAATTGTCATGTGTGACTCCTTACAAAAGTCACAGGATTTCTTTCTGTTTGATGGAGTAGATTGAGTGAAGGACTTTTCCTTATGAGAATAATTTTACCAGAAAAAGTCACGTTCTCCACTGCTCAAGAAAAGTTTTAACAGGGTCCTCTAAATTAGCCAATTTTACATTTTAAGTACTGCAAGTGTAAATGTGGAGAACTCACATATATTTAATGTTAGATGTTAATTATACTATTATGTATAACATAACCTAATAATGAAATCATTACAACACTGTTACCTTTCAGCTAAGCCAACCACTTAATTTCTTGAAGCAGCAGCATCAACTAGTGGCTGAGTTCAGCAATTCCCCAGCTAGAGTAGTTTCTTCACCCAAGTGCACTCAGGTCACAGACTACTACAGCTTTCCCAAAAGAGAGGGGGATCCCACTCTCCCCGCTGGAGCAGGAGCTCAGTGCTCTGCACATCACACTGACCCACAGCTGTAATGCTCACCCACAGACACACATGGACAAAACACAAGAGAGACTGTGAAGATGAGAGCAGTAGATGAAGCTTTTTAGGTATGCAGTCTTTTTTTCTTTTTTTTGCCATGAAGTCACGTAACTGATTTTACATGGAGTTGCTGATGCTTTAGCAGACAAGCCATGTTTAGCACATGACTCAGGGATAATAAATGTTTTCAAAAATCTCTTTGCTGAGCCCCTACGGAGGCAGATATTCTGCCAAGCTTTTCAGCACGTGAGGATCATCATACCAACTCCCACAGGTGCCCTGGAGGTGTAGTGCACACAGCCCATGGCTGGCATTTCGGTGCACTCTGTGACGTGATGAAGGATGGAGGAGGCGAAGAATCGGAAGTTGTGCACAGCCCGAGGGATGTCCACTGTTCTGGCAAATGTAATCGTTTTTCCTGAAACAAAAAAAAAAAACATGCTACTGTCATCATGGACAGAAACTTTTTAAGTTAACTTTTTAAAGTTACCTATAAATTGCTTTATAGTCTCTCAAAGTTGATTTGTGTGTCTTTTGGGGAATGTCTTTTGTCCTGTGCCCAATTAACCACCAGCACAGTACAAACATAGTCAATGACAACAGCTCCCTCTAGTAATTCCAAATATCTGACAAATGAAATCAAAGTTGGTAATTCCAAAAAGCAAGAATCACCCAAGAATCCCAAATCCAATACCTCCTCAAGGTTCATGCACATCTACTCCAATTTGCTCCAACAGTTCGTACCATAAAAAAAAATTTCATCCAAATCCTCCATTTCAATATCCAACAAGGCACACTTATTTGAGATCAACAGTTCCAGTTCCTACCCTGATCCTTTGACTCTGCTTGTGCAAACGCTTCCAGGTCATGTTCAATCAGATCTGCCAATTTGTTCAGGATCTGAGATCTTTCCAATGGACTTTTTGAGGACCAAATTGGGAAGGCATCTTTAGCAGCTTTGACAGCAGCTTCCACCTAAAAAAGCAAAAGAGCAATCGTGAATGCTAATGAAAGGCTTAAGAAAATATTAAACACTCAGCAGATAAATTCATATTTCAGAGACTTATAATCCAGACCACATTGCTGGGGAGATGACAATGCCTTAGAGCTTCTCCATTGTTTACAAGACACTACCTCATAACTCAAGAAGTGTCACTGAAACAGAATATCTAGAAAAGAAACTTCCACTGGGATTCTTGTTTTTCTCCAAATTACAGCAACTTGTGGGCCACGCTCCAAGCCTGGAAGAAATGCTGGAATGGTCAACTGGCACCAGCAGGTGCCACTGGCCAAAACAAAAAGAATCTTTTTTCTCATGGAGGAAAGAGCAAGAATCTCCCCAGAGCAAATGCAGCTTCAGTCTAAACATGCACAATCCTTGCAACACAAGACCTCAGCCACAGCAGGCAATGATAAAAAGCTGGATGCTCTGCTAGCTCTTGATTTCCACCATTTGGTTCAAGTAAGGACTAAGAATATATTTAGGGATGGACACTCAGAGGAAAATTTTATCTTACCTGATCACAGCCAGAAAGCCATTAATGCCCTCACAGAAAAAAATAAAGTTCCTTTTTCAACACTGGGAGTTTAGTCAGTTCTCTTACCAGACACCTAACAAAGCCTAGAGGTAAGAATCATGATATGCATTTATACAGATACACACCACTCCCATCAATATTTTGCTAGAGACGTACATGACAGCTGCACAGTCCTTCAGCCTGACATTTCCTAGTAGTGGTAGATTACCAGCACTTTTCTGAAGCAGACCCATCTTCAAAGGATTAAAATTCAGCAGAAGGCTTTCTGTCCCATCAGTCATTTCCTCTGGACTCTTAAGTGGAAGTTACCTGCATCATTCATCTGTTGATTTATAAGCAGTTCCTTCTTCATGTTTATCAGTTTCACACTAACTAAAGATGGTCATCAATATCTTTCCATATTTTAATTAACTGCCCAATTTCCCAGCTTTTGCTTCCTGTGTATCACTTATGCCATACTTCCAAAATCTAATGCATGCATCTAAGTGGTGGTTTAGTCAAAGCTGTGTTCCTAAAATTTTGCTCATACAATTTCTTCAGTTTTGGAAATCTGCCAAAATCAATAACTAGGAGGATGCTGATGCAATATTGATCAGACCATTATCACCTCTCTGAATGTTGCCATATTGATAGCTCCCATGAAGTCAGTGAAGCTCCTTTCCACAAATTCCACAAAAATGAGTTCTGAATTTGTTCCTTCAGATTGTGACAGGTCTTATAAAAACCATCACAAAATAATTTACAGGTACTCCAAAGACTTTTTACTAATGAGGGCACGAAATTTCAAGCAAGCAAAAAAATAAACTCTATCTACCCCTTCTCCTTCCCCCTCCAACACACACCAGAATTTATGGGCCGTGTAAAAATAACACCCAGAGTTTGAAAGCCAGAACACCACCAGTGCAGGGGGGAAGGTGGGAAATTAAACAAATATGCAGAGAGTCGCATGGATCACTGGCCAAGCTCAGAAACCCAGACTCTTCTCTTTCGACTGTAGTTCAACAACCTCCTGCTCAAGTGCCCATGGCAGCAGGCTGTCAGCCACTGAACAGCTGAAGCAGGACCAAACCAGGCCTGGGAAAGGGGAACTGCAGCTTCCTGAGAGAGTCCAGTGCAGATGCCATGCTAGCCTGAAAACGTTCACCCTCTGTGAAACCATAGCACCTTCACTAATTAACTTGTTCTTCCACCCTCCCATCCTGTGCTGCTCATCTGTGGCCTTTTCCACCAGGTGCTGCCAGGAGAGGAGATAGTCAATACTGTCTGCATTTTTAACCCTTCAGTGGGTTTAGAAGAAGGACAAAAATACTGCTTTTTCACAAACAGCAGAAGTGAAAACTAGCAAAGGAAGGAATTAAGTGGCAGTAGATTAATCTAAGAAAATATAAGAGGAAAAAAGGGGATTTGTAGAAAAGAACTAAGCATACAAAGGTTAAACAATTACTTAGTTTGACTAGCAAAAACCAGCAAAGAAAGTAAAGCCACAAAGAAAGCACACATAAGAATTCAACTATGAACTCCTGTGTCTGAAACACTTCCTTCTGCTTTCCTCTTCTGCATGAGACAGACACAGAGAAACAACACACAATCCAGACCCATCATAAAAGGTTGCTATCAAAATATCCCATGCTGAACTGCCCTCAGGACAAGATGTTTGCAAGGGATGATGTGCAGGAGCCAGGTTCTTTAAAGATAACTGTTTTTAAAGCAGATATTTGCCAGCACTAATTAGTCCCCATCAGCCTGTTTTTTGGATATACAGGGCACCTGCCAGTCTTGCTGTGGTGCTGCTATGTAGAATTTAAGGTATCTAGCTGGGGAACAAACTAACCCCTAAAAAAAAATGCATTCAATGTTTTTGGCAGAAAGTGGCTTAAATGGCCACAGCAGCTGACCTGGTGTTAAACTCAAGGGTCAGCAACAAACTCACTGTCTCTCCTTGTTTCACCTAATTTCCCAGGAAAATTTACCAAGATAATATGCAACTGGACATTGAGCCTTGCTAGAAACAAGCACTCTGAGTCCTTTGCTGAACTCTGGTCTAGATGCTTATTTGGTATCTCTAGATAAGCTCAAGTAGTGTGTGATTGCATTTTCTTCAGTCCTCAGCGGATGCCAGCTCTGCAGAGCACAATCTTCTTGTACAGCTGTCTAAAGGCAGGACTAAAGCACTCACCAAATTTACAGGTCTTTAAACTGGGTTCCCATTGCTACACACAAACACTGACTCAGAAAGCTGAAAGAGAAAAGCATTGCTCTTAGGATGCTTGAACTATATCTCTAGAGTGACCAGCAGCCTCTGGCATTCTCAGATCTCTCTGGTTTAATGATTTTGCAAATGAATGGACAGGAAGATTTGCATCTGCACATTGAAGAGTAAACTTCTCAGGCATAATTAGGAATGGAATGAACTTACACAGATATATTCCAACAAACTCAGCCTGTTACTCTTTAACCCTTGGTCATCAGCATCTAACAAATATTTACCCAGTTGAAACTGCAGTGCAAAGGTTTCTGCTGAGAGAAGCTGTCAATAAGGCTGAAATGCAAGCAAAGGGAACACCTACACACTGTAGTAGTCTGTTTTAAAAAACATTTTCAAAATGCTGTCCACATTTGACAATATAGTGGACAAGCCCTCTGTGCCATCCAAGCTTGTGCAGTCACTTTCCTCTTCACTAAGTCTGAAACACTATTTTGGACTTGTAGGCCCCTTATAAAGCAGCATCAATGAAACTGCAGCTCCCCTGATGAACATCACTGCCCATCCACACCTGATCCATACACCCCATCCACCATAAGTACAGTGTTCCAGGAAACATTCTCCCCAGTAGAGAGCACAAGGCCTGGAAACCCTATGGATGCAGAGGACAGGGTATGTTATAAGGAAACACACTCATCACAGGCACTGAATATCCAACTGCTAATATCAAAACCAGAGAGGTCTGAAAGCTTTTTACCATCTTCAGAGAAGAGACAGCAAGCCAAAAACCCTTTAAAATGAAAACTGCAAATCATCAAGACACTAAGGGAGAACACAGTTGCATATGGTGCCTCTAAATTTATTTACAGAAGAGATCAATAAACACTGTTCTCACAGATTGTTTATATTTACAGTCTGTCTGGGTGTTATTGTGAACTTATGCACAAGGCATCTCCCCCATGTGAGCTGAAGCAGCTCCATTCAAGTTACTGAAGCATTGTTGATTCACACCAGCTTAGAATCCAGACCATAACTTTCTAATAGTAAAATGTAAAAAGAAAAGACAGCAGTTGCTGCCACAGCAGTGGATTATGCAATACTATAATATAACCAAGAATTTACTTGTTTAAGCATTGAAGTCATCATTTTTCTGTTCTCTCACCTCCAGCCTCTCTCACTCAAAAGGTTATTGTTACATGCATTTAACATTTTTCCCTTTTTTGTCCATGTGGATAGTACTCACCTCTTCTTTGCCACTGTCTGGAACCCTGCAATAGACATCTCCGGTGGACGGATTATAGGAGTCTATGTAGGAGGAACAAGGAACAAATCTGCCACCTATGAAGTTTTCAAGCACTAAGAGAGCCTTTGAGTGAGCCATTGTTGGCTGTTTGCTTCACCTGTGATTTTTTTCAACGAGGCATCAATTTAGATTAGTATGTCTGTATGTATTTGCACAGTGAGTCCGAACTCCTCCCCCATCTCTCCGTGCTCCCTGCACCACTTGTTTACAAGTGGGAACAAACCCTGGCAACAACAGCAGGAAAGAGCAAAGGGGAAAAAATTAGTATTACTGTGACACTTGGTTCTTTTCTAGGAGCTGAAGCAAGGAGGGAAGAACAGCACACTTGCTGGCAACCAGCTTTTCTCTTGTCTGTAGGAAGTGAAGGACTGAAAAAAAGAGAGAAAAAGGATGGTTTGACAGGGAATTTCTACCTGTTACAGTTTTTGAAGTTACAGTTTGAAGACATTATTTTGCAACAACTAAACAAAATAATTCAACACTCAAACATCTGGCCAGGAACCTGCTTCTAAGTGTCAGCAGACAAAAGACACTTCAGACCAGCATGTCTGCAGCTCATGTTCATTGTTCTATCAATACTTTTCCCTGTATCCCCAAAACCAATGCACCTATCAAACCAAAAGATTTTAAGCACTAAGAAACTCTTTTTCACCAATATTGCCAAACATCAAACAATACAAACAGCTGAGTGACCCCTCAATTCAAACAGCTGAGAGGCACAATCCTACCTGGTACACTCTTATATGTTGTCAGAAATTCATCAGGTTTTTTCTCCCAGGAAAAACAAGACACTGGCTGTCATGCTTTCTCTTCCATAGGTACTCCAGAGAGTACTCCATACTTACTACAGAGAAGCCTTTTACATATAATTAGTTTTTTCCATTTTTTTATAATTAACTTCCCAAGAACCTAAACTGCTCAGTAAGCACTGTGTAAAAGACATTTTCTCCAAGACAATGCTAAGGATTACCAAATTGTTTTAAGATTGCATGCCACCTCCTTGTTCTCCACAGATATTCAAAACACTACACCCAGAGAGCAGTATGGTCTCACCAGGAGATTGTGACTATCTCAGTCAGGAGTTTAGGAAGGTTTTGCATCCTAGACAACTGGCAAGCCACCAAGTTTCACATGGATCAACATGCAATCACATTTTGATTGAACAAAGGTGATGTGATTCTATTGCACAACAACAGATCATTTATGCTTCAACCAAGTGGCACCTCTGGGCAGAGTTCAAGTCTGTGTTGAAAGGTAGTGCAGTCACGTTGAAACTGGATTATGTAATACCTCTGCTTCTCCCAAGATGCAAACTGGGAAAGCATGCAGTAGCTTTTCAGTCAGCACAGAAAAGTGAGCCTCAAAATTTAATGCAAACATATGTGAGAAGAATTATCAGAGGTTCACCCTGTATTGCACTTCCTTGTCCATAAACAATAAGGAACTTATGCAAGTCTTAGAAGTGAAGACTGTAACTGCCCCCTGACTTCAGGGCAACCTAAACATTTCAAAGTTTGAAGGCAAGCTCAAGTGGAACCGGTTCAATGTAGGAGCTTGGCAGTATAAATCTCTGGAATCCAACAAGGGCACCTAAACCTTCACAGTTGCATGTTGAAACTGGTAAATATTTAAGTGTAATTTTTGGTCTATAAAAAGACATAACAAATAGTGGTAATTCATAAACTCGGCAGTAACAATTTTCAGGTATTTCAGATTCATAAGCTTTTACAAAAGTAATTCCCATACAAAGAATTGCTGATACTCTACAAATATCTATGCAGTCAACAGTACAATTCATCAATGTGGTCAAGTGCAGGTAGCTGCTGAATGGGGGCTAAAGCACCTAAGTACAAAAAAAATTACCTACCAAAACACTAATGTGGGAAGAGTAGGTACAGACCATACAGGACTGTGACCTAAATAACAGCTATAGCATTTTTGTGTTCTTTACTACTCTGGACAGAGCTGTACTTCAGTTAACCCCCTGGACCATTGCTCTGGAGGGAGCGCTTCAGCTCCTGCCTCCCACTACTAACTCTGGGCAAAGCCAATTTTCTCCACTCTGCACTCACTTACAGGTCCCCAAATACCTGAGGTCCTCTCAAAATTCCTACCAACATAACTTGCAAGTTGTAGTAAAGTGTGCCTGTCCTGAGCTGGAGGTGGCAGAAGGACCCTCCTTTCTGCTGGAAGGTTTCATCAGCCCCATTACTGAAAAGCAGGAAGGAGCTACAGGCGTAAGTCAGCACAATTTGGCTTTAGCAGACACCACAAGATTAAACTGTCAGCCTTTGTTCAAAAGAGCACTAAGTCTGGATGAAAGAGATGTGTATGCACAGTGGCTGCACTGAGTAACATGAGAAAAACTGAAATTATTTCTTCAGAAAGCCAAACTGGATGCCAGTTTCGCATTTTAACTCATAAGTTTACTCTGAAACTTCTCAGTTATGGTAAGTAAAGAATGATTTAACACAATTTAGGAGTGTTTAAATAACAAAAAATGAGGGAGACAAAAATGCTCAGACAAATTTATTTTATTATTCTCACTGTTTAAAAAATAAAATTAGCCAAAGTTGGCACAGCTTCCACTACACAGCAAAAGAAAGTTTCTTTTTTCTTAAATAAATTTTGGGCCAGGGAAAACAATCCCATGATAATATTACATGCCATTCTCTTGAAAACAAGGTAAATAGGTTTTTTTTTCCCCTGAATATGCATTCAACTCAAACCTAAAAATATTTTAGACCAATAAAGTTACTTTACTGAATTAATGTGCAGCAAAAAAGCAATCAAAGAAAATACGTAAACAATTTATGTCTGGAAGTAAGAAGTTTGTTTCATGATAATTCATCATCTTTTTCTCTAATTCAGCTTTCTAATATTTTTCCATCAACTTCTCTAAGGGCTAAGTTCCACATGGAGAAATTCATAAGATTCTTGAGATCAAGAAGTGCAACACTTGCAGTTCCTTGTCAGTTGGCATCTTGTTCTGCAGCAGGAGAGACTGATGAAGGGATCCCCAGATGTCTCAAACAATTTGACTTTTGTCACCACCATCTTCTCCCCAGTTAATTGCACCTGTTCCTTCAACTGAAATAACTGGATTCTTACACAGAAGTTTGGATATCTGATTGAGTTTTGCTTGGACGGTGGAAATTCTGTCACCACTGTCATTCTTTAATCTAAAAATATATGCAAACAGAAAATAACCTATGGTGAAAAATTAAGTACTAAGTGTAAAAGGATCTCAGTGTTTTTCAGTATTATACAGTTGTGGAAAAAATAATTCCTTTTCCACTTAAATTCTCGAAACAAGAAAACAAGTACTAAAATAGCAATTCCCAAATAACATATCGAAGAGGTTTTTTAGTCCCAATTCTACAAACATTAATCTAGCCCTAAACATTGCATATCTAAATAGAATACCACTTGCCTCAACTTAAATTTAATGAAAAAATGGGTTCAATCCATCCTACTTCTGGATCTTATTTAAGACCAGACATGTTTAGGAGCATTATACATCCATAAGGCCTCTGACTGACCTAGTACATCATTCCTATGCGTACATGGAGAAACTAGCAAAGCTCATGCTCTAATTCTAAGTTTTGACATTAAGTGACTCAGCCTTAAGTTCTCAGTACCAGAACTTGGTTAATGTGCAAGATTTTTAAAGGGACAGATAGAAGGAAATTCACATTTTTTGCTTTTAGTAGAAGATAAAGCAGTAATGTTTAGCCCTACAGTCTTTGCTTCCTCTCGCATAGGATGAGAAAATGTTTTTTGGCATCAGTAAGAATCAAATGTACAATTGTCTTTAATTTTAACAGAAAAAGACAATGGACCCAACCTAGACACAGTTAAAATGGCCAACACCTCTTATTTACAAACTGTTTCCAGAATATTCATATAGGCAGATGTCAAAAAGACTGATGTATTTCAACTCAAGGAAAAAGAGGGGAAATTCTAAACACAGTAAATTGTACTTCTAATAAATTAGACAGAATCATGACAAGTTTTCCTCACATCTTGCTGAAGCATTGTCTCTTTTTTAGCAGAAAAATATTCACTCTTTGGGCTAGAGGGTGTAAAACAGGTCTTAACCTGTTTTACCCATAACACCATTAACCCTGTTTTAACCCATAACACCATTCCTCTGCAGTACAGAAAGTCTATTACAAAAATGCCATACCTCTGTAACAACTCCTGCAGCAATAGTGGAACCACTGTAGCGTAACATAAATCTCCCCAGCTCTTTAAAATCTTTGTATAACTCTAGAGCAACAGGTCTTTGAGTCTGTAGTTCTATTAGAGCATTCTGGCCTTTAGCCAAGAACCTGCAGGTAAAAAAGCAGAAAACTCTATTAGAAATGTATGCACAGATAAATGAAGAAAAGAACAATGAATAAACAGGAAAAATCATTTTAGAAAGCCCAGAGTACAATTATCAAACTCGATTACAATTATAACCCAAGCCATGAGACTGAAAACTCATTTGCCTGGAGTATACATTTCAATAAGGCAACTAAGTTTTCTTCAAAAACCTCTTGGCACTCACCACAGCACTTAACAAATTGTTTTGAAGCTAATTATCCCATTAACACCTGTTTTTTCATGTCAAGTGGAAATCAAGTCTTGTTTCAACCCCACAGCTAAAGAGCTTATTCATTACTTTGTAGAAGTTTGCAACAGTTTCAGCCATAAAATTTCTAGAAAAGGATTATTTGGAAAATGTTGTATGTCTCAAAAGGCATTTCTATATTATTTTTAAAATCTTATTTCAAATAACTAGAGGCCTGTTACTGTAGTTGTATGGGAAGATTCCCTAAATTTCTTTCGCACGGACACCTTGTCTAGTCAAGCATGTTTTAGGCAGTTAGCCATCTGCAGAATTATAAAAGGCTTTAACAGTAAAAGAAGAAATACTGTTAAAAAAAAAAAAAGAGACAGGGAGAAAAAAAATTCCTTTAAATTAAGCCTGCTAATCTAGGATTCATTCCCAGTTATGCAAGTGACCTTAGGCCTAAATCACTGCACTTCTCAGGTGCCCTGCAGTTATCAAGAGGGCGGGAGGTTTTGCAGTTTGCAAAGCACAATGAAATCCAAACATGAAACCAACTAAAACAATAAAAGCATATTCTTATAACATATAATTGATTCATAGAAGAACCTGTTTGATGTACTGTGTATTAAACATCAACCCATTTCTTGAGTAATTATTAACTATTCATAACACTTACTTAGGTTTTTTCTTTGTCACTTCACCAGTACTTTTGTGCAGGACACTCAACAGTCTTGTAATAGTAGCAGGTTCACTTACTGTTTGATAGTGTAAAAGCACCTGAAAATATTTTTTGCAGTTATTAAACATCCTACAATAATCAGTGATCCTAGGTGTTAATAGCTGAAAACAGCAGCTTGCTTTAAGACTGATATTTTTAAAGAAATACTTATAAAACTTCTCACAGGAGTGTGTGCCTCACATCCAGTAACTGTTCCTAGCTCCTAAACTTTGTGATCACAACCGATATGACACAAAGGCCATAATTTATGTCATCATAACACATTTTTCATCCTTAAGTGTTTTGCTTCTGCCACCTCAGTGCAGTTCTGTAGCATGAACTGGTGTTTTATTTCTTTAAAATTAAAAGCTATCTTACACTTAAGTGCATCATTGTATTTCCACAAGATGTGAGCTTCTAAAGCCTAGCTGTGGTGGAACTCACATTCTCTGAAATGGCTCATGTATTAATGGCTATGTATTAAAAGCTAGTAAGAATATGCATAAACAGCCACAGTGGCCCCTTCTATCCATGTCAAATTACACAAGAATCTGTTTCCTCTGGAGACACAGAACCACTTCTAGACTCTGACTGTATCTCATATTCAGGAGGTCAAACAGAGAGAGGAAAAGCCCTGAACAACCTGCCATGAACACAGTTTTCAAAGGGACTTACAGGAAATCCTTTAGTGATTGGAACCTCAATATTGAAGATGAGAACCCGAGCTCTGAACTGAGTGCAAACTTTAATGGGCTCCTTGGGATCACAAAATACACAGCCCACACTAGAAGAGAGAACAAAAAACAAAAAAATCAAACAAACAGATATCTCTTGACATAGAAGTGTTAAATAATTATCCTTTTCCAGGGCAGTGATTAAGACAAGCAAAGGAAAAGCAGCACCACTTTAATACAAGCAGGGTGGTGGGGGGGGGGTGTAGGTGCGTGGACCTCCAGGAACACTGTATCGAAAGCTGTAACAAAATGCGTTCCTAGACAATGTCTACCTTATTTTGTGTGTATGCATGAAGGGCTCTGTCTAGTTCAGTGAACAATTACCTCCAGTGCTAATCAGTTTCTGAAAATGTCATTGTTTCCTGTGCGTAGATATTTTTAAGAATTAGACTTTCATTCAGAGATTCAGGGTTTCCGTTCAACAGCACAAAATACTGCAGGGTGCCCAAAATTGCAGTACTGCTGCCTGTGGCTCAAGTATTTTCTGGATAATAAGGGGACATCATGATCAGGATTCAAAACCTGAGCTTTCAGCAACACTTATTTCCAAAAAATTCTACTTGGAGTCACAAGAAAGCTGGTGCTTGTTACAAGTTGGTAAGTAGCCTAGACACAGCTTTTTCACAGGGCCTAGTTTTAGCCATCTGAAATGAAAGGAAAATTAATCCCACACAGGAAAACATGACGGAAGAGAAAAAACAGCATGATTAAACATATACATCAAATTTCATCAATATCAAGAGGACTTCAAAATTCATAGCTTTTTTGACAGCCCTAACATGTCTCCAAAAGATGAAGACATCAACCTAACAAATTGACTCAAGACTTCATTCAACAACTAGAACAAGACTTCCCTCAACCTTTCACCACTGAGAATCCCAACCCACTATGAAATGGCAACACAGAATACCTGTACTTTTCCCTTAAATCAGAGGTTAGATTTGAAAAACTATCAATGCAAGGAGATTTTCCAAGAGTAGCTTGAAAGTTTGCTGTCTGAAGTCCAACTGAAATGTAAAAAACGTGAACAAATTGTAGATCCAATTACCTGGCCTGAACAACAACTGACACTTAAAAAAGCTTGAGGCTAATGCTTAGCATGAATCCCACAGACTGGAGAAGACACAAAGAGATTTGCTGCACCTCACTATTAGAGCACCCCTTAGCAAAACATTTAGGAAAATAAATCTTACAAGTAGCTAAATGTGTTGAATAAACAGGTTCCATCAATTCCACTTGTACAGATTTACTTTTTAGTACAAAATGACAGTTGTTTGCATGCGTACTGCCAGAATGATTGATAATTTGAGAAGTTCTTGAAAAATTTTCTGGTTTATTTACCAGGTTTACCAAAATTTTCTGGTTTATTACGGGTTGAATTTATCTGGCAATTAAAATGTCCAAGGGGTAGTC